TTTTTAATCAAATTTGGTTTTTTATTTTTTTTAAATCTTACACGAAGTTGGATTCCGAAATAAAAAAACATAGGATTGTAGGGTTTTCCAAGCCCTACACCCCAATTTATTTTATTTTATTTTTACATATTTTTAGGGGTAAAAAAAAATATTAAAAAAACAGGCTGTGGATTGGGCCTCATCGGCCGCGGCCGTGGCCGAGATTCTCAGCCGTAGCGGCCGAAATGCACGCGGCCTAGGCGGCGGGTGTCACATGGGGTGAGGGAAACATGCACACAACTCACCGACTGGAGTAGGAAGGAGCTAGATCTTGGAGCAGGGAAGCCAAGATAACGCTACGGTCCTAATGCCTATGCGATACCAAGGGAGAGCCCTACTTAGAGAGACCCAGCTAAGTGAGAACCATTATGCGACACATGCAAGGGAATGTACAGGGTAGGTTGGGGGCGTGAAGTAGTCAAGTCCAAAGTAGTTGAAGCCGATGAGATGGCTGAAGTCGAGAAGGTAGCTGAAGTCGTCGAAGTGGTCGATGACGTCGATGAAGTAGGAGCCGAGTCGATGTCGAAGCAGAGCCGCAAAACGTTAACATCCTGAAGAAGGTGATGATGGAGTACCTGAAGGTGTGAGTCAGTAGGGTGATAATACGTGATCAGAGTGTCAATTGTCAGACGCCAAGGACGTCGACGAGTGCGCTGTGGACGCGCGGAGGCATCGGTCTGCTGATGAAGAACAGCCTCAGAGGGAGCGGGCTCGTCCGAAACAATTTCGTCAACCGGAGGAGGAGGAAGAGGGTCAGTCGGCTAAGTAGGAGCGGATGTCTCAGCACGACGACCACGATCATATGCACGAACTAACATCCGGGCGTGATGCAAGTGCTTGAGGGGCTCCCAAGTAGCCTCCTCATCACGATAACCCTTCCAACGCACAAGGTACTCGATGCGTGGAGGGGTATCGTCGGTAACTCGGCGAGATACGATGTCGGAAACAACGAACTCCTCGTGATCGTCCACCATGATAGGTGGAGGGCGCTCATAAGGACGTCCGACGAAGCGCTCGGACGGTCTCTGATAAGGACGCAGCAAGGAGACGTGGTAAACATCGTGTACGCGAGTCTGTCGAACGTAATCAGGTAGCTTCACACGGAAGTTGACCGGACTAGCAGCAGTATCAGAACTGACGGTCTGAAGGATGCGGCATGGACCGAAGAAACGACGCCTGAACTTGCGAAGCGTATCGGTTTGCTCGTGCGGCCATGCGGGTTTGGGAGTCAGCTAGAATCTCCTGTGCGTGCTTCATAATCGCCGCCATGTGGACGATCCAGTCGTCAAGCGCAGGATAACGAGTTTCTGGGCGCAACCGTGTTGGTCTTAGGAAGTCCGCGGGTACGTGAGGGTGGTAGCCAAGGTCACAATAGAATGGCGACATCCGCGTGGCTGGCGAAGCAGCGTGGTTGTACGCAATCTCCGCGTGGGCTTAGTGTAAGTCCCACTGCTGGTCATTACTAACAAATTTTCGGAGGATATTACCGAGAGTTTTATTGGTGACCTCGGCCTGACCATCTGTCTGAGGGTGGTAAAACGATGAGAAGCGGAGCTGGGATCCGTACACCTCGTGTAGGCGTCGTCAAAATATGCTGGTAAAGCGTCAGTCATGGTCGGAGATGATGCTCTGGGGTAAGCCGTAATCTCTCACGACTCAGTCGAAGACGATGTCGGCGACCTCATGAGCGCTAATGCACTAGCGACACGGGACAGAACGTGCCCGCTTCGTGAAGCGATCGACGACGACCAAAATAGCATCATGACCTCGCTTAGTGGGTGGGCGGAGGGGACCAATGAAATCCATCGAGATGGACTGCCAACGGCCCTCGGGTATGGGTAAGGGCTGAAGTAACCCATACGGAAGGTGGTTCGCACCGTTCACCTCCTGGCAGGTAGGACACTCCTAGATGTAGGCTTTGACGAAGTCCTTGGATGTCGGCCAGACGTATAGGCGGCAAACACGAGCCAACGTCTTATGGAAGCCCATATGACCGGCAGCTGCCTGGTCATGGAACTCTGCTACAGCCTGGACGCGGAGCTGTCCGGTGGAGGGAACGCAGATACGTGGTTCTAGCTAACCAGATCTGCCATGCCAGTACACAAGGCCGTTCTTCCCGAGGGAGTAGGAAGGAACGGTCTTGCCACTCCGCAGTGTCGGGTGGATGACGCGATAATCGGGCAGTGGCGGTACAGAGTGCGATATGCGTCGATTACCGACTGATCAACAGTGGTGATGGAGATGGCAGCAAGATGGATAGGTTCCTTATTGTACAAGGCATCGGCGACATGGTTCGTTTCACCCTTGATGGGCTGAGTGGTGAAATTGAACTCGGATAAGTCACGCCACCAGCATGTCTGTCAAGCGGAAAGCTTAGGCTTCGTGAGAAAAGTCTGGACAACTGAGTTGTCCGTGCGCACCGTGAAGGGCGCCCCGTAAAGGGCGCCCCGCGCAGATAATGACGCCAATGTCGGGTAGCGTAAACCACTGCAAGAACCTCCCGTTCATCGACAGTGTAGTTTATCTCGGCAGGCAGTAGCTGACGGGAGTAGAAAGCGATCGGGCAATCCCCAACGCGAGCCTCGACAGTCCCATCCTCCGCAATGGTCGGGGAGTAAGTAACGAGAGGACTGTTAGTGGAGGGAAGTGATGGGAGGGCAGGCGTCAGCCGAGAAGCAGTGTCAGCAGGAGGGGGGGGGGGACTCAGAAGGAGGAATATGGGGATAAGGTGAATCGAGAGGAGAGGGAAATACTTGAGAAAGGATAACTCCTACTGCAAAATCTGACGCATTGGTGGTGACGTTAAAGGGACAATCAAAATCGGGGAGGCGAAGAACCGGCGTACAAGTCACCGCCTTCTTGAGGGAGCGAAAGGCGTCCTCGCAGAGGGGTGTCCAAAAACACGGCGGGTTCTTCCGGAGGAGGGTGGAGGTAAGAACGTAGGAATACCTAGCATATCACCGGATGAAATCACTATAGTGACTAGTAAGGCCTAGAAAACTGCGAAGTTGCTTGGCAGATGTGGGGATGGGTCACTCTGCAATAGCGGTGATCCTCGCGTCGGCCATGTGGAGACCCTGGTCAGACACATGGTGTCCTAGGAAGTCCACTTTGCGCTGGGTAAAGCGGCACTTACTAAGCTTGGCATGAAAGTCATACTTGCGTAAGCGCTGTAGGACATTGAGGAGGTGTCTGAGATGGTCTTCTAAGGTACGACTGTAGACCAGGGTGTCGTCCAGGTATACGAGAACGTATTCTTCAAGGATGTCGGACTCCCTGAAGATGTCGTTCATCTCCGTCTGGAAGGTGGCGGGTGCACTGGTGAGGCCGAATGGCATCACAATGAACTCGTAGTGGTCGAAGCGCGACCAAAAAGCGGTCTTCAACTGGTCCTCTGTGGCTACGCGGATCTGGTGGTAACCGCTACGAAGATCGATCTTCGTGAAGAAGCGGTTGCCTACCAGACGGTGAAACAACTCATCCGCTCGAGGTATGGGATAGTTGTTCTTAACCGTGTTACGGTTAAGGCCGCAGTAGTCAATGCAGAGGCGAAGAGTTCCGTCCGCTTTGCAAGCAAAGAGGACGGGTGCATCCCAAAGGGAGTTACTGGGTTTAATGAAACCCAATCGAAGGAGCTCCCCAAGCTGACGCTTGAGTTCCGTCGCCTCTGGAATCGAGAGTCGGTAGGGTGCCTGATGGTGGACGCGATAGTCAGGCACGAGCTGGATACAATGCTCAACACCGCGCATGGGAGTGATCCCGCTGTATGAGAAATACGGGGGGAAAACGTCGCGGTACTCTCGAATCAAATCACGAACGACGGGCTCTAAGTCAGTCGTGAACCGCATGAGTTCCTCAACATCTGCGTCGGCACGAGACGTATGGGTGGACTCGGGAGTGGACGGTGAAGGGACCTGGGATGTCGAGGCGGTATCCGCAGGCTGACGGGKGGATGTGGAGATGGGAGCCGCGAAGATGGAGGAAGGGTTAGGGGGATCGGGCTCCAGTGAGATGAGCTCAACCTCGGGACAGAGTGGATCGTAGCGAAGAAGATCCATGACGTTCACTGAGTAGAGCGTGACGTCCTCCTGTCGGATGAAGTGAGCAAATTGACCAGGACAAGTAAAGACGATGTTTGGGTGGGACCCAGAGGGACGAGGGTCCTAAGGAGGTAGGTATGGAGGGGTGTCGCCCATGGTTCCAATGAAGGGGACTCGATGGGTTTAACCACACTTCGTTTTGAGAATGAGTGTCTCAGTCGCCCATTCGGCCTCTGTGCCACGGAACCGGCGAGACCAGGGACTGCCAAGGATAAAGTCGTACCGAGTATCCAGCACGTCGAAGTATGCGGAGGAATGGTAGCGCCGGGGCGCCTAGGTACTATCCGATGGCTGGAGGGTGAGAGAGAAGTGGAGGTCAGGAACCGTCTGATCGAAGAAGCGCTGCGTCTTGTTATCTCCGAGGGTGATGGAGATAGGAGAGCGATACCCGGAGGTAGCTATGCGAGCTTCCTCAACCACGCGAGGGTGAACGAAGTCTCCCTGCGAGCCAGAGTCCCATAAAGCGCGATACACCCTCGTAGATGTCCCTAGGCGAATAGGGATAATGAGAAGGGTACGATCAGGGTCAAAGAGCAGAGCGAGAAGACGACGCAGGACGTTTACGTGTCTCGTGAGTCGTTCCTGACGAGCCTAAAGAATGCTCAAATCTAGGAGAGATGACACAACGTCATCGCGAGTCGCCAACTGGGCACTACAACGAGCGGTGCGAATGGCGCGAGGCGTCGAAAGTCTCGGAGGGGACAGACTAGATGTGGCGGTCTGCTGTGGGCCAGACGGTACCTCGACAGACAGTGGGGCAGAGGGAACTGCGTTTGTCGTATCCTGAGGATCCTCTGATGGGGTAGCCAAGGGGGCAAACCGCGACTCGATGATCAGGAAGCCGGCTACGTGTGTCGTGTGAGGCCTCAGCGGTACATTGCACCGTGGCTAGCTGGGTGGAGCTGGCCGGGCGGGGCGGGGCAGGGGGGGGGGATGAGATCGGCTCTGAGGAGAAATGTCAGCGTAGTACCGATCGAGGGCGGTGTGGTATGGACACCGTGAGGAGGTGTGTCGATCCTGGCGGCAACGAAGGCAGCCGCGACGGGCCTTGAGCGCGGCACACTCCTCATGGGATAGAGCTCCGCAAGGAGGGACAAAACTCTGCGGGAGATCTAACTGAGGAACTGTGGACGTGCGGGCGCCAACTTATGCAATCCGACTACGTGCACGACCCATGGCGGACATGGCCATCTGCAGGCGCTCGACCACCGAGATAGTGTCGTCATCCAAGTGATACTGGATGACGTCTCGGAGCTCGATGTCCTCGGGGGCGTCCCCAAAGGTAGGGTCAAGCTCTGCTGAGGCGTCCTCGCCGTACTCCAGAGAACTTTACCGCCGAGAGAATGTCACTCCAGGTCGAGCTGGTCAGCGAAACCGGCCGGCGAAAGAGGATCGACCGCGCGTGGTGCCGCATGACTGGGTGGCGGCGGTGGTGGATCACGAAGAAGATGGGGCGTCGGAGAAGCGACTCCGCATCTTCTGGTACTGTCGAGCAGCCTCGTAGGCCTGCTCCGAGGAGGCGAAGCTCTGTCGCCAGAGCTCGATGCGGTAGTCGGTCGGAAGACTGACTACGAACCTGTTGGTCAAAAGGACCTCAGGTAGGAGTGTCTCATCGCAGATAAGGCGAGCGTCCTGAAACACTCTAATGTGACGCTGAAGATCGGCTGGTGCGGAGGACCCGCGCCACTGCGTCTGGGTGACCTGATCTAAGGCGTCAGTCGCATCGTGGAGAGTGTCGTAGCGGTAATGGAGAAACGCCTTGAAATCCGCGGGAGTGGGAGCCTCACGTGAGCGAGTACGATGGGTATAATAGTTCTCCCATGCGGAGAACGCGCTGCCTCGCAATTTAGTTGCGAGTGCAGGGCACCACAACTCCTGACCAGTGTTAGTCAGTGTCATCGCACGTGTGGCAGCCTGCAACCAGTGCGACACACGCATAGTACCATCGAAGTCGGGTATGTCCGATAGACGCACAAGGGTGGGACCGCTGTGATGACGGCGAGGGGAGAGAGGTCGAGGGGCCTGCACTGCGGCAACAAATGTCGAGGCCGGTGCAGACGTGGAAGTGGTAGCAGGTTGAGAGTCAGGGCTGCTGGTGGACGGTCCAGCAGACGTGGAGACGACAGTCGCAGCCAATTGTGACGGAGTAGCGAGGTAGTAGGGTAGAAGGGGGGGGCCGGTCGAGGGAAACGAGCCGGCAACACAGAGGTGGGAGGGGCGGTATAAGAAGAAGAAGGGTGAGCAGCCTGTGAAGGGTGAGACTGTCTCAGGGATAGAATATCCGCCTGGAGTTGCGCCACGATGGATGGTAGTGTAGCCACCCATTGTGTGCACGGGGTCGGGGGTGGAGGGGGCAGAGAGAGTACCATAGCGGGAGGAGGAAGAACTATGGGCTGTAGTGCCACGACCGGTGCAGGAAGCTGGAAAGCAGCACCGGGGTGGGTAGATGAAACTGCCTGCCCAGATACCGGTGTCGGGCGGCCGCAGCCCGGTCGGCCACCCGAAATTCGACAGATTGACCCCTGGGTTATTTGCCTAGAGGAGGATTGGTCGGGACTTCCATCGGAGCCATCGGGAAAAATTAGGGGTCGGAAAGAGACCCTTAATATTCTCCATGTCAAGTATTGACACTGACTCTTGAAATCGACGAAAGGGACGACCATGCCTGCCGCGCCTAGTGGCTATTGTTTTCGTCCGCTCCGAGTCTAATTCCGAAGCGGCTAGCCGCGGGATGGGAATGCGGGAGTAGGCCTTGGCGCGACTCTTTTACGTTATACACTTGGTGGGGAAATGAGAGCCTCGAATTTAATTAATTCTAATAACGAAATTAAAATTGAGAAAAGGAATTAAAAATAATAAAAGGGATGAGAATAACTGAATATTTGCGATTTAATTAAATCTTATATGAATTCATTCATAATGAAATTGCTCCTCGTTTTCATTATTTCCGATAGCAGAATTAAAAATGTGGAAAAATAATCAAAAATAATAAAAGAAAGGAAAACCAATGATTATTTATTATTTGATTAAACTTTACTAAAATTACTCGCGATGAATTTTTATTTATTATTTGATTAAATTTTATTAAATTTATTTACAATGGATTTTTGTCCGGGATTATTTATTTATCATGAGTCTCGCGATTCTTTCGATTCCCCGATAACCGTAAACCCTCGCTTGATTTTTCTGATTTATCCGATTGCTACTCTCACATGATCTAGGTATTTTGAGTGAGTGTTTCCACGTGGTCGGTGTGGCGCAACCGCTGTGGCTACTTTGGTATGTGCTTCATATTTTTGGGGTGGCCATTGGTTCGATTCGGGCACGACACTCTGGTTCGGGGGAGGTTCGGTCTCATCACGGCATTGCGACATTGTACGGTATTCGGCATGGGCCAAGTACAGTGTGGTTTAGGCCACTGCAGTTCGAGACAGAGTTTTCAGGTTCAATGTTGGTCTAGCATTGGTACGACACATGGGCTACTTGGCTAGGGTTCCGACTTGGACACGCCATACTCCGTTTGGTGGCCTTAACTGGACGCTGTCAACTGCGGAATTGACACTACTGATCCAGTATAGGTACTGTTTGGGAACAGGCACTGCTCAGCAGCAGTCTGGATCGGGTTGCTGCAGCTCATTCTAGTCCAGTGGTTTTGGAGATACGTTACGCGGGCCTCAAGTATGACCTTATTTTGGATTTGGCATTATGAATGATACTGGTATACGCGCAACAGAATACTGGTACACGACGGGCATTAGTCGAAGACTGTCGGGACTGGTACTTTGGGTCCCGTATGGATCACTAATGGTACTACTTGGCCGACTACCGGGCCAGTGCCGATAGAACTCCCTACATGTAGCCTTGGTGCCGGGACTTTTAGGACCTGCTTCCCAATTGAGGCCAGTTCACCCGACTGAGAAGAGGCTACACAGGGCCAAAGGAATGAGCAGCGGAGTGTGCCAGCCCCTGAATAGAATATAGTTGGGACCAGCTGAAAATAGGGGAATTTTCGGTCAGAGGACTTCGGAGATGCGCGCAAGGCGTACCCAGCCCACGCTCATGCCAGCTCGGGATACGATTAGCGCAAGAGTTGCGCACTGAGTGCGAGCGCGAGAATGATCAAGTGAGCAGATGAGCAAGCGAGTGGATGGAGAGGTAGGTCAAAGCATACCACTCGTGACGCACAGGTAGCGGTTTGGAATGGGAGATAGCGAGAAGGGGAGAGGGAATCATCGTGTGGCAGATGGTACGCAGCGACTAAGAAGACGCCTGAAGGGCATGGAGGATTTAGAATGATTGCCTGTCGGCATGGCTGATAGGGCAGCTGGCGCCCGATTGGCTGCCAGAAAGTGATCAGACGATCAAGCCTGGGGATGAGGGGATGCGCCGTTCGGGGTAGCCAGCGCGCGAGCACTCCAGGAAAGACCTGGTTTATTCGTGAGAGCAAGCGATGTGCGCGGAATTCGAGCACTCGAGAAAATAGACGGGATCTGACTGGAGACCGCCTCACGCGCGTAAGCGGAGGAGAATGCACAGTGAGTAGGGGGGTGCGTCTGGCGAAAACCTACCATGTGTACGCAGCCTGCTAGTCCAGGAGGGCGCTCGAGTTTATCCTGCTGGCGAATGCTCTGAGGATGGGTGAGATGAAGACATCTTTTGCGGCGGAAAGGGGGAACAACTCAGGAGGACTTTAATGAAGGCGAACCTGGGAAGGAACGCGTGTATGGCGTTTGTTACGCGCGTGTGCAGAGGAGTGTTGGGACTGTGAGGTAGCATAAACGAACAAGTGACTATCTGAGCAGGGGAGGGGAAAATGTGTGCGAACTTATACGTTCTGCTGGTGAATCAAGTCTGTGAGATCATTCAGAGGGAAGACGATACTGAGGCTAGAAGTCCAAATTGGGAAGAGATGAGGTGAACCAAGGCTCGGAGCACTGCTCGGCTAGCTCGGTTCAGGCAGAAGAACTCGGAGAAAGGGTGTGAGGGAGAGACGCGTGCAATCAAGTGAGCACCGCATGTCATGTGGAAGTGGGGATCAGCTAAGTGGCGAGACGCCGGTACTGATCAGAACAGGCAATAGCCCAGGAGCCACTGCGCACTAGTATATACTGCGCTCAAGTAATGTGAACGACAGGTCCGGGTTGTGCGCCTTGGGAAGCCAAAGATCTGTGGAATCTGCTCGTGCGGGTGAAAGAGCTATGACTGAGGAACCGGAAACCGTCAACTGAGTTAATGGTGTGAACCAAGAATGGCGAAAGGTCAGAAGGGCGAGGCGAGGTAATGCTGCGAGAGACTCTTAATCCGGTATGTAACGGCATCCTCTTTGGGGCTAATTGCCAGACGAACGGGTTGCAGGCTGGTTCGTCTAGAAACGAGTCTGGGTTACTGGCTGAATGCCTCACTAAGTAGTGTCGAATCGAGTTCAAGGTGGGACATTCGAAGACTAAGTTTCCACGGTGGATCAGTGCGTTACTCTGAAATGGGTCGTTGGGATACTTCGAACCTGATTCTGCTACCTCCAGAACTCGCAGAACTGTCTGTTGGTATACTAGAACTGAGACTTATTAATTGTTTACTCAATGTTTTACGACAAACATAATTATGATAGTTATTTCTCTTCTGATTACAACCAAGAAAACAAAATGAAAGGTTTTCTGTTCTAAATGTGGGCCATGCTGCAACAACCGTAGTATGTCTGGCTTAGAGCTCGCGGTAGAACACCCAACTGCAATGAAAGAATTGTTGAGTGACATAGCCCTAAGCGAAGCCTTTAACGTTGGTGGTGTTCGCACTGGATGAGTTTTCAATTCAAGCCGAAGACGAACCTTCTAAACCAAAATTATAATTTTATTTTGGACTATTCTTTTATTCAAATTTATTCCATAGAACAGGGTTGGGAATGGCAACGTGACAGACATAGCAGATCTGATTCATTGGCCCCGTACTGATCGCTGAGGACCTCGAAAGCGGGTGCGGCGAGTGACAGACGCCGTTGCCCTTGGCTTCAGCGAGTGGTAGGCGACCCCTCCCCGGGTTTCCTCACACCGGTATCTGGGCGACAGTACATGCGCCAGTGGCCGAAGCGGCCTGGGCAGCGGGGGCCAATGGATGTGCCACAACAGACGGTATGGTCTGAGCGGCAGCAACACTCACCACTGCGGAGGGGGAGTGTTGGGTCTGGCCCGCGGAGGAGGACGAACCGCCACGTCTCTGTCCCTGGAGTCGTGGAGAGCCGGACTCCGAGCTGGTAGGGGATGTGGTCTGAGAGCGGTGGGGAGAGCGATGAGGAGAGCCCTTGAGGTGGTGAACTTCAAGGGCGAGCGCGTTGACTAGCCTCTCCAAGGGTGCAAGCGCATCGAGTCACGCTTGCAGAGGTGCTTGGAGAGACGCAAGAACAGCGCGGAGGTCTGTGGGGTCCACAACGTGCTGTTCCTGGACCGTGGGTGGGTGGACGCGTGAGAGGTGAACGGCGCCGCGACGAG